CCAAAAGACAAAGTTAGATGTCACAGAAGCACACGTGGGAGTAAAGAAGTGACTGGCTGTGAGTCTAATTTAGCCAGGTGCAGAAATTTATGTTAGTGAGACACTATCAGCCAAAACGAAAACAAACAAAAAAAAACATGACATCCTGCTCTGCATGGTGGGAGCAGATTTGCAGTTGGGGTTGCTGCATGAGGCTACAGAAGTAGACTGGTAGTAGCTGAGAGTAGGCCTGCTTATTTATGAATGAATGAATGATTTTATTTGTTTGGTACAGTGTGCAATTAAAACATAGTTTTATGCATTGCACCAGATTTAGCCAAGGCTAATTTACATCTGTAGTCCCATCGAATTGTTTTGAGCTTAGTCAGTCTCTGAAGAACAGACTCTTTTTTTAAGCTGTGAGGTTTGTAATATGGCAAGATGTGCCTGATGGTGTAGTAACTGTTCACCAGGAGTTGGATGAGGTCAAAATAATGGTTGTCTAATTGAGACTCCACCATATGTTTTCCGAGGCACAATGGATGGATATCCCACATTCATTTTTTACATAGACCAACACTCTGTGTCGGGAGCAGACATTTGTTGCATTGGAAATGTTGCCTTTTTCTGCTGCAGTTAAAAGGTGCGAGGGTGTAACAAGCTCACCTTTATTTTTCATTTGAAGCAGCTGATACAAATCATCATATTGAGGTTGGACAGCATTAGAGACCAAAGAAGATTTACACACATCACAACTAGGCTTGGGTACCGAAACTCAGTTCCAGTATGGCACCGGAGCGAATATCCACGGTAGTACACAGACCAAAACACAACTCTAATTTTGGTGCTTTACTTCGGTGCCTCAAAGAAAGCTGTTAATTTGCGTCCTCTGGTGTTAACTGTTAATAGTGATAGCCTCGACCCACAATCTCGACAGACGCTCTGGTACACGGTTCGACTTGGCTCGGTATCGGCCCAATGCGCCTCTCCAAGCGCGCTCCACAGCCACGCTATCTCAGAACCTCCTCTCCGGTGGTTCGGGTAGAAGCGAGTACAGCACGATTTAACGTCAGCAGATTTCTGCCCTTGGATTAACTCGCTTGGATTGACTGACAGCAGATTTCCTCCTGGAGAGAGCTGCTTTTGTTTAATACGAGCGCGCGGCGCAATACRACAACACGATGAAATAAAACCGCCTTTTTGGGAAAGGCAGAACTTATGAACACTTCCTGGAGAGAGGTGAAGGAGACGAAGCTGAGCAGATCATGAGAGGTTTTCAACAAACTGGCCNCCAAAAGACAAAGTTAGATGTCACAGAAGCACACGTGGGAGTAAAGAAGTGACTGGCTGTGAGTCTAATTTAGCCAGGTGCAGAAATTTATGTTAATGAGACACTATCAGCCAAAAAAGAAAACAAACAAACAAAAAAAAAACATGACATCCTGCTCTGCATGGTGGAAGCAGATTTGCAGTTGGGGTTGCTGCATGAGGCTTCAGAAGTAGACTGGTAGTAGCTGAGAGTAGGCCTGCTTATTTATGAATGAATGAATGATTTTATTTGTTTGGTGCAGTGTGCAATTAAAACATAGTTTTATGCATTGCACCAGATTTAGCCAAGGCTAATTTACATCTGTAGTCCCATCGAATTGTTTTGTTTAATTATTGGCCTTTGAAGAGAATGAGCTTAGTCAGTCTCTGATGAACGGACTCTTTTTTAAAGCTGTGAGGTGTGTAATATGGCAACATGTTTCTGCCTGATGGTGTAGTAACTGTTCACCAGGAGTTGGATGAGGTCAAAATAATGGTTGTCCATTGAGACTCCACCATATGTTTTCCGAGGCACAATGGATCCCCACATTCATTTTTTACATAGACCAACACTCTGTGTCGGGAGCAGACATTTGTTGCATTGGAAATGTTCATGATGCCTTTTTCTGCTGCAGTTAAAAGGTGCGAGGGTGTAACAAGCTCACCTTTATTTTTCATTTGAAGCAGCTGATACAAGTCATCATAGTGAGGTTGGACAGCATTAGAGACCAAAGATGATTTACACACATCACAACTAGGGTTGGGTACCGAAACTCGGTTCCAGTATGGCACCGGGGCGAATATCCACAGTAGTACACAGACCAAAACACAACTCTAATTTCGGTGCTTTACTTCGGTGCCTCAAAGAAAGCTGTTAATTTGCGCCCTCTGGTGTTAACTGTTAATAGTGATAGCCTCGGCCCACAATCTCCACAGACGCTCTGGTACACGGTTCGACTCGGCTCGGTGTCGGCCCAGTGCGCCTCTCCAAGCGCGCTCCACAGCTGCACTGTCTCAGAACCTCCTCTCCGGTGGTTCGGGTAGGAGCGAGTACAGCACGATTTAACGTCAGCAGATTTCTGCCCGTGGATTAACTCGCTTGGATTGACTGACAGCAAATATCCTCCTGGAGAGAGCTGCTTTTGTTTAATACGAGTGCGCAGTGCAATACGACAACACGGTGAAATAAAACTGCCTTTTCGGGAAAGGCAGAACTTGTGAACACTTCCTGGAGAGAGGTGAAGGAGACGAAGCTGAGCAGATCACGAGAGGTTTTCAACAAACTGGCCGCACGGTTACACAAGCACATAGCTTAGCTTATCTTAGCTTATCGAATAGAACCAAGTTCACAGAGAGGGGCTGAACAGGTGTCGCTGCAGCTAACAGTTATATATTATAGTCGAGATGTCGAAAGCAAAATGGTCCAAACTGTGTGGTGTCACTTTACAAAATAAGATGCAGAAACTTCCACCTAATATTTGGTGCAAAGACAAATTATTAATGGTTTTAACTTAACATGTTGGTCAAGTTCAAGTTTGACTTTGACTCAGAAATAGTCATTGCTTCATAAAACTGTATGAGTGTGTTTGTTTTATTTATTTATTATCACGGTGCTGTTAAGCTAAGTGCTTGTGTAACCGTGCGCCCAGTTTGTTGAAAACCTCTCGTGATCTGCTCAGCTTCGTCTCCTTCACCTCTCTCCAGGAAGTGTTCACAAGTTCTGCCTTTCCCAAAAAGGCAGTTTTATTTCACCGTGTTGTCGTATTG